CCTTACCACTGCAGACCCCGACTCCACAGGCAAAGGGAGTAGAATAGCAACCAGCAAGCCCTGGACCCTCAAAAGCAAAGTAGGTCCAAAAAATACACAATTTAAAATCGAGCTCCTGCACCGTTAAGCTACGAACATGTCATCCTGCATTCAAGAGTCGTCCCCGGGGCTCCCTGAGAACGCGCGAAAGCTCGAGCAAGGCAGCCGAGTAGAGCGAGTGGTTGTCCTGGGTGTGCATTTCACAACACCAGACTGTTCCAAGCCCAAAACATTGACGAATCGTTGTTCTTACTGCAAAGGGTTCTTGAAAATATGTTTCGTATAATGTGCCCCAGAGCCGTCGTCTGAATAAGGCCCTGTATTGACCCCAACGAAACCACAGCCGCCTCACGAAAAGTGTCCCGATCGAATCGACGAAGAATGCTTCAGGCTTCAGTGGGTTTTGGAGGTGCTGCCGTACTATTGTTACAATAACAGTAATACATTCATATTATTGGTTAATTACAATATTGTTTTTCACTAATAATATGAATGTTACTAGTACTATTAAGACATGAGGCTCTCGGAGCCTTGGGACCCGGGTCATGATGCCAGGCTTTTGCAGGTGTGCATTGAGCTGCGGGATTGCCTCCACTAGAGTTTGGGGTTATTTCGAAATAACTGATTTGGGTAGTCACTTTCAGCAGGCTGTCAACACCCGCCATTTACCGCTCCTGTGCTCTATGTCCATTTCCCTTCCAATCAGCTCCCCAAAAATTAAAGCCCCTCCTCCTTTAGACCTCACCAAAACCGCCATGTACTTCCAAAAATTGGAAGCGTCATTTCTTCATTTGTGCAATCACCATCTGAGCCCATCGTCTACGGCTCCCGGTCATGTTCTTGCTTACACAGACGGTTCGTGTTTCAACAACAGAGTTATCTCACAAGACAATCCTGCAGGTTGGGGTTTTGTCGTTTCCAATGTTTATCGGGATTGTCCCGTGCACCCTACTCCCACATCGCAGTGGATATCCTCGCATGGTCGCGTTTGCACCAACCCGGACTATCCAGAGTATGCAGTGGCGCAGGTGTCGTCAAATAACACGGCAGAGCTACAAGCACTGGTTGAATTGTTCGATTATCTGTTTCATTATGCTTCCTTGCCCGATGGACAAACGATCCACGTGTTTACAGATTCACAATATGCTATGAACATATTGTTAGGCGACTCTATTCCGGCAACACATTACAGAATAGTCGCGCGACTGCAAAAGTATTGGTTCGCTCTTCGAGGTAAGTTTCATATCTCCATCTAAAAAGTTCCTTCTCACGTTGGTATTCCCGGCAACGAGCTGGCAGATAAGATGGCGCGTGCAGGGAATGACTCCCTCGGGTAGCGTAGGCCGTTTTGCACGAGTTCCGTCACGTAGCCTACAGCCTCCTGACTCTAATGTGGACCTCACTGTTTGGGAAACCATGACGCTCAATGATCAGAATACGTTTTTCCGCAGGACCATAGACGAGGCGAAAAAGTTGATTCCCGTTCTACCTCTTCAACCCCGCAAACCTTGGATTTCGCGAGATACCTTGGAACTCGTAACTAAGCTCAGGGATTCCAATGAGCTTTCTCCTGAAGAGGTAAAAGCTTTCAGGAAGTGTATCAAAAAGTCCGCCAGACGGGATAAGCGCTTGTTTGTAAAGAGCCGTCTTTCGAAAGACTACGAAAGCACTCCGTCTCAATGGACGACTCTCCGAAAGCTCCGAAAACCGTTCTCTTCGAAAACTCCGGGAATCCGGGACTCTGAGGGGAAGCTGCATTCCGCCAAACAAAGACCCGAAGTCTTTTGAAAGTATCTCACGCAGCATGTTTGGAAGAGTGTTGACGAACAGATTCCACCTCAAAACCCCTTACACGCAACAATTCCGGAAATCTTCCGCCCCTTTACGGAAGAGGACTTGTACCAATGTTTGAAGCAGTTGCAAATTGGTAAAGCCACCGGGCCAGACATGATCCCTGCAGAGTTGATTAAGCGTGCGCCGTATGTAGTCCAAATGTTTTTTCTTTCCCACTATAACAAGTGCCTCCGCACGGGGTCCATCCCGGACGCGTGGTTGCTTTCGGAAGTGGTCATGCTGGTTAAAGATGCTCGCAAAGACACGCTTTCGCTCGACAACTATCGGCCTATCTCATTGACAGATGTTTTCTATAAGTTGTATGCCGCTCTTTTGCAGAAGAGGTTAGCATTCTACATTGATCCTCGCATTAGAGAAACGCAATTTGGTTTCCGTCGGGGTAAATCGACGTCTCAGCCCATTCACGTCTTGCGTCGATTAATTGAAGCGCATGAAAGACAAGAGAGCCCGCTGCATTTATTGTTTGTCGATTGGGCCAAAGCTTTTGATAGCGTGTCGTTTGCGTCTATAGAGCGTTCTTTGGTTAGACTGGGTGTCCCCGTAGCGTTCGTGCAGGCCGTCATGGCCATTTCCAATCACCCTCAGTTTCGAGTGAAGGATTCGGGCTCCACTTCAGAACTTGGTGTCCAATCTCGTGGCGTTCGACAAGGTTGTCCACTCTCTCCTTACCTCTTCGACGTCATCTTGACATGTTTGTTTGCAGATGTTGAAGAATCCTATGAGAAGCAGTTCGGTATTCTGACGGGTGTACTAAGGGTCCCATCTTGTTTGTGGGATCTCGAATACGCGGACGACACGGTATTCATGTCACACTCTTATGTGCAATTAAATCGACTTCTCCATTTGCTGCAATTTCACGCTCTTAAGATAGGGCTCCAGCTCAATCTGGACAAGTGCAAACACCTCCCCATACATACCCACCACAGAGTCCAATACACTGCGGATCCGCATTGTGCGTGTCAGTGCCTTTGTTGTGGAGGCCAGTCGCCGGTACATGGTGGACATGTTCCCGTTGTAGATGAAGTAAAATATCTTGGTGTATGTCTGGATGCAACATGTAGTGCCGGAAGCACCGTCAGCCAGCGTATCTCCAAAGCAGTTGCTGCATCTAAGCAGTTAAAGCCATTTTTTAGCCATTCGGGGCTGCCCTGTAAATGGAAGCTCACGGTGTACCGAACTATTGTGATGTCGATTTTGGCATACGGGATGGAGTCATGCAATCTGTCCCCGTCCCAACAACGTAGGGTAGACTCCCTACATTTCAAGAACTTGCGCCGGATCTTTCGGAAGAAGTCTTCATACTACCACAGGGTTATAGCGCCTTCGGACGTCCCATGTTCAATTGAATATCTCACAAGTCTCGCCAATCGATTTCTGGTACTACCCACACCCTCGCAGCAATTTTCCTTTAATCGGTTGAAACTGCTTGGACACATTCTGCGAAACCCGGACAGTTTTGAAAGTACGTCTACTTTCATGTCCTCCAAAGCATACCGTTTTCTCCGTGGCGGGAATCGGTCCGGCAGGCCCACTCCGCACTGGGCGGAGGTTTCCATGGCGGAGGCGTATCTACGACTTCAACAGAGCAGCGGCGAAAGACCAGATATCACCAACATCCATCATGATTACTGGAAGTCTCTCTCGGCGCGGGATGTAAGACAAATTCACTCTGCCGACAAATTGCCGATGATGGACAACACTCGCTTATACCGCAGAATCAACCCCGTTGCCCAAGATCGAGGCTCATGGCAAACGCTTCTTACACGGCCTCCCAAAAAACGTGTCGCTCAAAACTGCTGAGGTTTGATGGGCGTAGCTGTTTGACGCGATGCCTTACACATTGAAAAAAAAGAGTTTGGGGTTTAGGGTTTAGGGCCGAGTTGTTTCAAATCGCAGGCTCTGTTGAACGGGGCGTTGGGGATGAGTCAGACATCCTCATCCAATTCCCCCAGAGAGCCTGGTCATGATGTCACTGCACTTGCCTGTGGGATGGGCCAATAGGTCTTGAAACCTTGATAACCCTAAAGCCTAAACCCTAAAGCCTAAACCCTAAATATACTCAACCCTGGAAGCACAGGAGTGATCTGCAAGCCTGGAGGCTTCTTCGGTGCCATACTGCCGACCATAAGGCAAGTCACACAAGACCTGCTCTGCCAAGTATACCCCAAACACGAAAAGTCTGCGGCATCTGGGGTGGGGGCGGGCGGTGTGGTGTGGAGGGTTCTGCCGTTTCGTGAGTTTCTCAACAGACATGGACATCAAAAGCAAAGCCCTGAACCCCACAAGGCCTAAAATCTGAATTTGGAAGGCCCTCTAAAGCCGTGGAATCAAAAGGCGTTCGGCATCAAAAGGCTCGCGGTGCTGTCAGACAGTTTGCGGCTTCGAATCTTACCTCTACCAAGTATCGGGGGAGATCTAGGGGAGCAAGGATAGGATTGGGATCCTTGAAGGATCCCTGCAAAAGGTCTCAGCGCTCTTTGATTTTTCTTTGCCTCCAGCACTTTAGGAGCTTCGGGAATTGGAGTTCAAGGCGCTGCAGAGTGCCGGCACAAGTCTTCCGATTTCCTGTGCCCTCCCAACCCTGAAGCCCAGTCATCTCCTCAGCTCCAGAGCTGTACCCAGGCTTGATAAACTTAAACGGAACCCTAAACCTAACTAGCCAGGCGTAGGTCGTCCCGTAATAAGATTCCCTTTTGGGAATTGCTCTTCTTCCAAGTTGCAGGATGTAAGCTGTTTGGGCTGTAATTACAGCCATTCAGAATTCACATACTGACACCCTAAGCCCCTATAAGTATAAGCCCTCTTACGACAGGCTTTGTTGGGTTCATGAGCGGATATGCACACTGAAGGGACATGTATGAATCCGTTTTACGCCATACTATCCACCTCCGAGGGCATAGCTGTAAAAACTTAAGACCTGGAAGACTGCACCGTGCGGCCTGGGCCCCAAACCCTATACTATAAACGTTTTAATCCCCAATACACCCTATATACCCTAAGCCCTTTTTGCATCCAGGCCTATTGCGACCCGTAAGCCCTAAACCTCCAAACCCCAAACCCCTATAAACCTTAAACCCCTAAACAAGCTCCCGTTCTTCGCAGCCCACCACGTCCACGCACTTTGCCGCCAGTGGTAGCTTCCGGCAGTCGGCGCGAGCAAAGCCCACGGCCTTCCACGTATTTTGGGGTCGTGGGTGTGAATTTTTGAGAAAAAATGTTTAAAAACGAAACCTAAATACAAGCTATGTTTTTCAGAAAAACCTAGGTGCTTGGAGGATTTGTGTTTCGGGTTGCGGCTCTCGCACTCGGACAACCGAGGCGAGGGAGAGGGGACCATAATATAGCACCTAAATGGTAGGATCCTTATTATAAGGACCCCCAAAATAAGGCACCCCTAATTTTCGGAAACTCCCATATGGTTCGAGGTCTGCTAACAATGTGTGAAACTGAGCTAGTGGGAGCACACGGACAGCATGACAACACAATTCCTCAGAGATAGACCTGTTCTTAATGGGCGGTCCCTCTCACTGGAATCTCTCCAATGTTACCGGATAACCTAGTTGGAGACCTCAGTCACTATGAGCAGCAAACTGCTGTTTGTCGGGGGCAAAGGCCAAACTGGAAAGACTGGTGAATAGGATATTTTAGGTTTTCGGCTTAGGGTTTAGAGTGAATAGGATGTTTTTGGGTTTAGGGTTCAGGGTTTGGGCTGCGAGCTTGGTGTTTTGAGGGTTTGGCTTGGTGTTTCGGGGTTTTGGGTTTAGAGTCTGGGTGTTTTGAACGTTGGTTGTCAGTTAGGGCTTTGGGCTTTCAGGACGGTTCATGGCTTGTTGAACCAGATACAGTGTCCTTGCCTGGCCACATGGCAGCACTCCTCGCTCATTCGCGTAGCCTCATAACGAAACTTGCGAGTGCAAACCTAATCTGCCCATGCACAAACAGACTGCATATGCGGCGCAACAACACACAGTGACAGTCAAAACAAGGTGATCACCTTCAACGTCCTGTAACCACAACAGCGGTCGTCATTGAAACATGCTAGTCACATCAACAACAACCTGGCACCGCCGGTTTCTGCGACCCCACCCCCGCCCCGCCAACCCCACCAAAACCCGGGGGGGGGGGGGCAGGGGGGGCGAAAGGAGGGGGAGGGTCGTCCGGCCACAGAAACCGTCAGTAGTAACAACCTGAACGTTTCCATCATAATCAGCGTCATCACCATGATCACTATCCCTTGAAAAATCGCGAAGAATGACGATAAATGCATGTAACTAGTAACTTGACAGCCAATAACTAGTAGCCGCAAGTGTGAGCCAGAACATCTTCGTGGACGTTCATCGTTTTATTGGTCCCTCCTGAATAGCTGGGTTTCGTAAGGGGGCCTGGAAATCCCACTGGAAATGCGGTCGTGCTGTTGGGCGGTTCAGAGCTATGCTGGGCACAAGCGAATTTATGGCGAAGACAGGGTGTTGACAGAGATTTGGCGTCAAGATTTAAGCCAGAGCTCTGCCTGAGGGCACCAATGTTGGGGGCTTCGCCAGTAAAGCCCTGAAATTATCTTTCCTTTGGTTAGTAGGGAATGGAGGAATGGAGCACAATTATAACTACTATTACTACCATTCTTCCATGCCCTACTAACCAAAGGTAAGTATTGAAAGGCAGGCTTTCCTGGAGGCTCTGGGCTTCGAGTCGACAGTTTCAGCGTTTGAGAGGACGGCCTGGCCAGAGGGTCTCAAGGATTGAACTTTTCCCCAACCATAGGCCCCAAAAAGGCACATGAGCAAAACATATATAACAAGCATTTTATGCTTTTTGGGTCCCTAAAGCCAAATCCAGATCTGACAAGACGGAAGTTCCAACCAAGCGGCACCCGAAACCCTACGAAGTGTACTTAGCGCTCCCCAACCTGAATGCTGAGTCTTAGCACTCTCAAACCTGAGCCCCCCGAGGCTTTCTTCTCTCGGCTCGGGTCGCCGAAATAAATGGTGCGGTTTCAGGCACGTAACATACGGGTTTAAATACGGTCGCCGACTTCGTCCCGTCTTGGCGGGTGTCGAGGAATTGCAGTAGCAAACCCGGTAAGTTCCCGCCTAGAGTACTTCCTGACGAAACCTCCCAGACCTCCTTCCCTGCATCCCTCACCTCTGCCTTGTTTCCCTGTTGCTCCTGTCTGTGGCTTTCTCCATCCCTTGCTCTCTTTCTCTGTGCGGTCTGTGTTCGTCTATTTGTCACTCTCTCTGTCTCTCTCACCCAACCTGTCTTGGTCGATGACGAAATACCCGCCACTTTCTAGCCCGCTATCATCTCCTTCCTCTCCGCCTATATGATTGTCCCGCCGCTTTTGCTGTTTGTCTCTCGCTCTCGCTCTCGCTCTTCTTCAGCAGGGCATAAGGGGCGGGTTAGGCCCCCCGGCCTCCATGTGTCTCTCTCTCTCTCTATCCCTCTCTCTCTCTCTCTCTCTCCCTCTCTCTCTCTCTCTCTCTCTCTCTCTCTCTCTCTCTCTCTCTCTCTCTCTCTCTCTCTCTCTCTCTCTCTCTCTCTCTCTCTCTCTCCGTCTAGCGTTCTGGTGATCGCACGTGGACTACTCTCGCGGTTGCTATGCTGCTATGCCCGGCGATATCAAGCTTAGCTTGAAAGATCTTGAAAGGAGACTGCATTATGTCCACGCCCCTGCACCCAAGACGAACATACACGCACGGTCGTGGCTTTCCGGAGGTTCTACGAGTCATAGGGTTGTACTTCATAACAGTTTTGGGGGATGGCTCCTACGTTATACATAATGCCCTGATGAAACTACCATGTAAAGTAGACCTAGGCCGCCCGTGGGCAGACACCAAAGTTTGGCAAGTGGCGCAAGTTCTCCACGGCCTGCACCTCATGGGCAGTCTCGGCTTGCAGCGCTGAATTCTGGCTGAAGCACGGAATGGGAAACTGAAAACCTGAAGCCAAAAAGACCTCTGGATGCGAGCCCAACGGAAACAACCTTACGGCGGATGGCGGCTCCCAAATTGCCAAAGATCGAGTCCACACCCCAAAGGCACGAAGTCCAAATCCCTAAAATGCAAAACCACCGCCTTGCAATCCAGATGCGAGCTGCTCGCTGACCAATTCGAGGCCCAAGAAATGGCATTGTGGCCACCTGGGACAGAGAACTGATTCCGTGTTCACTTGTTTGGAGCCGCAGTACAAGTATTTACACTCCTTGCACACTGTACCGCCGAAATCTGAAACCCTACAGCCAGCCATAAACTTTACAGTCCTGCACCCTTTTTCGGCACGAACCGATGGGCCGGCCAGCACTCATGCAACCTCTCACTCGTTTGCGGAAATCGAAAAACTTCCAAAGATTCAACACCCAAAGCCCTGGACTCTGAAGTGCTGTATGAACCCTATGAGCCCCAATAGACCCTTTACAAAACCATCTATCCCGACGGGAGCTCGCTGCGATGCTTTTGTGTCGCCTTCCGCGTGCGATCTTATGCTTTATCTGTATAACTATAGAACATATATATATATATACACACATGGACGGGACCGGGCAGAATCTTGATGTCCAAGGGTTGATGCAGGTTCAAACCATCTGCAAGAACGGTCGCCACCACACTTGTTGCCTGTTTGCAGCTGGGCGCTCAGTGTCATACTTGCCCTAAGCCCGAAATCCCCAAAGCCCTCAGCGGTTAAAAGATGGAACGGGAAAGCTCTAAACATCAAATACCCTCAACCCCCAAGGCCCCACAAGTAGTTCCTTTTTGGGGTTCATATCTAGAAACCTATAAGGTAATGCCAAAAAGGAACTACTTTCTGGGGCCTATGGGTAGCCCCCAAGGCCCTACACTCCAAGAGCCCTGAACCTCCGAACTCTCCGGCCAGGGCTCCATGCAGCTGCCTCGAGTAGGACCACGCCTCCACACTGAGGCTGAATAGTGGCTGGTCATGATGATTTTCATGACCCTCATTAGGGTGCGAACCTATCTGTCTGATTCTGCGCGAAACCCACAGGCAAACTAACTGCTGCAGTCTTGTTAGTCTTCCAGCTCGGCAGGGTACCTAGGTTCAACAAAAAAGCATCAGCTTGTCCGAGAGTCGCGTTCTGGCACGGACTGTGAAATTGGTTTCACTGTGGCAGCTCTGGCCATTCATGGTACTCCCAGTCATGCGAAAACTCTTCCGCTGTACGTTTGGGATCCTGCCAGCTTGCCACCGCGGGTTCGTTGAGGCCTGTGCTGTTTCGATCTGTTTCGTGCCACACTTTTCATGCAAAGCATACAACATCCTTGCAGATCTTATGAGCTATCATCAACATAAACACCGCTATAAACATCCCAAGGCTTAAAGGAGTTCCTTGCCTTTGCCCGCCATGGGATCCAGGACCAGTTCGCGATCCTGCATACATAGCGGCGGCGTACGGGTTCGAGGGCTTATCAACTTCCGGTATGTTTCCCTCTCTTCGGGTCTATAGGGATTAGGCTGTTAAGGCTTAAGATGTTTGGGGTTCAGGCTTTGTTGTGGGTTGCATGGTTATAAATTTCGGTGATAAGAAGATGCACAGATTTATCCGAGCTGCGGCAAACGAGCCAGACTGGCCCCAGGCCGCACAAGGACCCCGAAGAGTGTACCTATAGTCTCCATTGTAGTTCCTTTTTGTGGCATATTATAGACTACGGATCCTATAAGCTAACCCCAAAAAGGAGCTGCAATGGATACTATATTATAGGAAGAAACTCTGAAACCCCAAGCGAGTAATGAGGTTGTGAAGACCACGCACGCCCGTAATGCAATCCGGCCCAATCCACACCCTGCATGCCACAGGGTGCCTGACCACCAGATCTCGTAGGAGCATGAGCGGTCCCAGAAGCTCTGCAATACCAAGTTAATAACTGCCCCGAAAACCAAGACCCCAGACCCTGAACCCTGAAACTGCCCAGAACCACTGAACCCCGAAAGCCCAAAAAGCCATGCCTGCAAGCGTGCCACGGATGCCAAGCCCCAACCTTCTAGCAGTCAGCAGCGGGGTTGCTACAAGAATGTAGGGTTCCAGAATTTCTACAAGGGTTCAGAGAGTTCGGTGTTCTAGGGTTAGTAGGATAGAGACGGAGCAGAAGGCTTGGTATAAGGGTGATTGAAAGGGCAAAGGTCCGGTAGTGTTCAATTGCACCTCTGATTAGACGCATATCATGGCTGCGTAGCTTGGCACCCCAGCACTTCGCAGCTTGGATGAAAAAGCCTGGCGCGCTCTTATCTCTCAATGGATGAGCTCCGGTGGTCTCGCATGCAGCCACAAGCCCAGTCCCAAACCATAAACAAAGCATCATATATAAGAAAACAAGAAACGGTAAACCCTGCAATGTCAAAAAAAATAAACCTGCGATCCTCGAGGCCCCTGATCCGCAGAGGCTACAGTGTAAATGCCCTCATGATCCGCCTCACCTCGAAGCTTCCGACATCTGTCTCAACCCAGCCTAAAACACAAAACCTCGCAAAGCCTCAAACTGCAACCCTGAAACCCTACACCTTATAAACCTTAAACCCTAAACCCTAAGCCCTAAACCCCTGGCCCAACAGCCCAAAATCGACCCAAGCCGAAGACCACGCGCCACAGTTGCAGCCGAGGCTCATAGACCTTCTCTGTGAAGCTGTTTCATGCATGCAAGGTTAGTTACGGTTTAGGGGTTTAGGGCTTATGTTTTAGGCTAACGAATAGTTATCTATCATATTATGCATGTAAGGTCCTACTTGTCGGGTATCATGCGGAACTAAAGGTTAACCTTTTTGTTTTGGGTACATAGGGATTATGTAGAGACTATACTACCCCGAAAAGGTGAAAGGTTACCTACTCTACTACTAGGCGGTTAGTTATCTATCATGTCATGGACCGTTTGACATTGTATTCTAGTATGTGGTCATGACTTACGCTATGTCATATTCTTACTAGTCTTATACTGCCACATACCCTCGGGGTTTGGGATTCATGGCTTGCAAGGGTCGTTTTTAAAGATTGGGTGTATGAGGACACTTGGGCTTTGAAGGCTTCCAGGTCTTCGGGCTGAGTTTCGAATCATCCCTAAACCCTAAAGCCCTTTTGAAACCCTAAACCCTAAACCCTAAAACATAAAACTCTAAACCCTAAACCCTAAACCCTCTTTAGAGGACCTTCACGGACAACGGGCAGGTGCAAGGCTCCTCGGCCTCACGGTTTAGGGTTTAGAAGGGTTTAGGGTTTAGGGCTTAGGGGTTTAGGGGTTTAGGGTTTAGGGTTTGGGGTTTGGGGTTTAGTAAGGGTTTTTTTCTCCTCCTGGTTTCATTATGGGGTTTAAGGCGCAAAAAAAACGCAACAACATTGACGTTGCAGTCCGGCAGGCTGTGGTGCAGGCCTTTGTGGGGGAAGTAGCCCTGCTTCACCTGGGTCCGTCTTAATTGGCGGCTCAAGAAGGAAAGAGCAAGGATGGATTTGCAGCAATTCCGTTTCGAAAGAGCCGAGAGCCCAAACCACAAAACTACCAATGTTGTGGGCTCGCTCTCAAACTGTTCGGAAACCCAAAACACAACAGTAAATACGATCCCTAACTGGGACAAAGCCACCCGGCGGTGGAGGATGGGTATGCCGACGAAGGCGAGTGAAGCACTCAAGAAGACCTCGCTGGGGCAGAAAAGAGCTTCGGGTTCAGATTCAAGCAGACTCTACATCCTAAATGGGCACGAAGCTAAGCGCCAGACCCAAGTCAAGTCTCTCAACAACGGAAACCCACATCTCATCAACAGGACAGAAACCTCATAGCACTACGAGTAGAGTAGAGCCCACATAGACAGAAAACACCTTGCAACTACCCATAGGCCCCAAAGTAGTTCCTTTTTGGGAGTACCTTATAGGATTCTATATATGAACCCCAAAAAGGAACTACTCTGGGGCCTTTGGGTAGCCGCAGCCCCGAGCCTGCAAGCTCAAACTTGCCACTGGAACCGACCCGAGAGTGCACGGCTCCCAGCTGCATTTGGGGGTTTTACCTTTTTTGGGGGGGTCCTTAGAATAAGGATCCTACTACTTAGGGTACTACATTGGGGTCCCCTATTTTCGGAAGTTTCATTTGGTCTCCCAAAACCGAGTAACACACTCTAGTGGGCCCCTCTGCTGAACTCAAGAAGGCAATGCCATAGCGGGAACGTATTGGTCCAAAAGGCATAGACCATCAGGCCCGCGTTGTAGGGATGGTGAGAGCAACCTTGCCGTCTTCACTATGCTCTGAGCTGGCTATTCTTTCTTGCTTGGGCTCATGTTTATGGTTGATTATATTGGGTTAAACTTAAAGTCTGTGCTCATAGACTCTTCGGGCTTAGGCGGAGGCGGGTAGGCATCTTTTCGGATCAAAGATCAGGAGTTATTGTTGTCGAGTGCAACCTCGATACGCAGCGGGCTTAGCGTCTGCACGTTGTCCTGACCTCGTCGTGACCTTGAGCAACATGCTTATAGAGCGATGCTCCTTCCGGCCACTGCACATGGAATTGTTTTAGTGCATATGAGGGCCTGTAGTTTCGATATCACTACCATAGCCAGTACTGAATTGGAATGCTTTATGGAAACCGCTGATCACCACTGCTATAATCAGCCGAGTGTTGCGAGAGAAGTTCTTTGACCTGATCCCCAACCCAACAGAACAACAAGTTTTTTTAGGTGCTTTAAAGTACAGCCCTCAACCAGCAAGCTGTTGGAACCACCGGAAGTTTCCATGTCTCCAGTGACTCAGTTCATACTTGGATACTTCTGAAACTGTACATAAACTTGTTAGCGCCTTTTTGTTGTTAAGAAGCTGTGTAGAATTTGCGGTTTAGACTTGAGAGTCTAAGGCTTAGCGTGCTGGAAAGCTCAAGACTTCAACTGCGGTTCAGGTCTGTATCGATTCCCAAGATCGCCGCTTCTCTTGCCGGGAGTCGCCTGAAACAAAACCCTGTTGCTCTGGGGCTCCAAAGCTTGAACGGTCGCGCCAAAAGACCGTAGGCGGACAGCACCTCATGCAGCACGTCACGCACCTGCTGGTGCGGGAACAGACCCTACTTGCATCTGCCGCAATGCGAGGAGGCTCAGGGTTTTGGGCTTGAAGAGAAACCATCGAGGAACGATATCAACATCTGTCGCCGTGTCTTATTCGTTGCTGATTGATATTGGTACGACCCCACGTGCAACTACCCATGAACCTTGACCCTAAGTGTCCGTCTACCTAAATAGTATAGGCCCAAAAGCACATAAATAAAGATATATTGCTTGCCCGGTCTTGTAGTTGAAGGCCTGAGGCTGATGCAAGCCTTAATGGCTGCATACTGGCTGCATTTTCGATCAGGGACGGCCACCCGCCCCGTCCCAGTTTTCAGCAAGTCCAAAACCTCTCCTAGCGCTTGTCCAAATCTTAAAACCCCTTCAATAATCCCTAAGGGTCCAGGTACCTGATTATCATATACTCTCCAAACTAGTAACCTACTTAACTACTATCCTAAACCCGAGTACCTACTTATTGGGTCCTTTGGACCCTTAGAGAATGGCTGTCGCCTTGGTACTTATGCGCCGCCAAAAACGATTTTTCCTCTACTTCATCCTGCGGATCGGACGTACCCTGTTCCTGGGTTTTCGCTGCGAGAGCATCATTCATAAACCCTATACCCTAAACCCTTAAACCCTGAACCCGGAATTCGTGGGCATTGCTCGCTCGTGGTGCCCAGCCTTCTGCTGCATCTCGAGGCGATCGAAGGCTCGCATGGGAGAGCCTTTTGCGCCGTGGCGCTTGGAGTCCAGCATCCTGACGTCGTTTCTATAAGGGGGCGGAAGGTACGTCAGTGCTTGACTCAACCCCAAAACCTAAACCCTAAACCTTAAACCCCAAACCCTGAACCGCATCCATCTCCCCACAAGGTTCCCTAACCCCTAAACCCTAAACCGAGTCTCCCGGAGAGTTTCGAGTGACCTGCCTTCCTTGGACCCTTCGGACTACGAGGCTGGAGCAGCCTCACATGATAACTGGAATAGGGTTTTGGGGGCCCATTGTACTGCGTGTTAGAGTTAGTAAGGAACCGCTAAAATAATATAGGTATTTATCTTAAAGTCCCTATATTACATAACTTCTTACCTGCACTGAGCCTCTCTCTCTCTCTCTCTCTCTCTCAAACGCCGCCCCAAGCGTGCGACTGGCTAGGCAAGGAGCCAGGTTTCTGGGCGATGGCCTCCATGAATGACATCAATCACGCGAAAGACTTCCCGCCAATCGATGGCATAGATCCATTCCTGCCCCAGCGGGCGATGCATCTGGCAGTGTGTTTTATGTGATATAGGCTCATGCAGTTGCGCCATGCAAACATCATTGCGCCCCAACCATCAAATCTGTTGGTAAAAACCAGATAGAAACCAAGGTATTGCCCGGAATCAATGCAAGGCATCTGGGACACGGAAACAAATTCCACATACGACAAACTATCAGTTCACAGCAAGTCAAGGTCAATTCTTGCTCTTGATGTCTGGTCGGTTTGTTGTACTGCAGGATGACCCCGGCTTGCATGGCAGCATTCTGTGGAATCAGCTTCAGTTGGGGGGAGTACGGCCGAGAGTCCAGCTCGGTGTCCTTCGTGTGTAAGTACCGGGGCACAAATCACATGTCCTACACGCTCTCAAAAACTCAACAGAACGGTCTTATTAAGTACCTATATCGTAGCCTGTAGGGTTTCTAGAACAGGTATCATATTCAGGGCTTACGCCTGTCCTGCAGAAGTTTGTAGTTGGGACCCAGGTGGCAGATAGCGTGCTCCTCGTGCAGACCTTCCCGATGAACACCTGGTGCTCTTGCCGAGCGAAAGAAAGGGCGTGAGAGGTCAAACCACCAGGACGAGCGCAAGAGTTTTTGCAGGCCAAGAAATCTACACTCTACACCTCTGAGTTTGAGCATCGTGGAGTTGAGTTGTTCGGTAACTCGTGTGGCAAATCTTGGAAAGCTCACGCCGTCGCAAGGTTAACACGTTTCTTGATTCACAGGATCCCGGAATGTGGAAGGTTCGATAAAGCTCACCAATGCAAACTGAACAAATCGCTTGCAGACAGTTGGACGCCACGGGTCCGCAATTATCTTTCTAAGCGAATTCGTACTGCTGCTCCTACTCCTACTCCTTCCCCTTCGACTCCTCCGACTCCTACTCCTAGTCCTTCTCCTCTTGCTCCTGCTCCTACTCCTGCTGCTACTGCTACTGCTATCGCCCCTGCTACTGCTACTGCTAATCCTAGCCTGGCGACGACGTGGAGCAACACCTGCCGATTCGGATTCAGACCTGCCACTTCTGCCGCCAGTACTTAGAGGATCATGGGACTTCGTAACGAGGGTTATAAGCAAGGCAACTATACGTGTACCTACTTATAACCCCAACTAAGGTACTTATAACCTTACTTACTAAGTCCCATGATCCTCCATGTCCTTCTGAGAGCCAGGTGGCAAAGGAAGACTCTTTCCACCATGGACAGGCAGACCACGCGCTCCAGCAGTATCTGACGGATGAGCTAGTCTTCCAGTGCGGTCGGATGTGAAGAGGTTAGTGACGGTCAATGAAGCTATCTAATAAAGAGGCCGGAATGAATAGACTGGGCTCTTGCTGCCATTGAGGCATCGTGTTCTAGAGGTTGAGGTAAAGCTCAACAACGAATTGACCCCAGAGATGCATTTGTGCTTCATCAGACATGCTTGGAACTGCGACGCTGTCAAACTTGAAGGCAGAAATCAAAGCTGGCGTACAATACACACGCTCTGCAATCCCAGGTTTCGCTCTCAAGGTTCAACCCTGAAGCCAGAATCTGGAGAATCCCGGTTGGGGATTGCGGGCTTTATGCTCGTGTACTATAGGGACCTTAATGACAATTCGAATAAGGTTTTGGGGCCCATTACACTATAATCAGAATAAGGAACCTCTAGAATAGTATAGCCTATACTATTCTAGGGTTTAGGGTTTAGGGTGTACCTATACTGTATAGGAAATTGTTTCGGCCCTATACTATAGTACTCGAACTCTGACTCGGGATCGGGAGTTCCAATTTCGGACACCGACCTCCATGGAGGTCTCGAGGAAGATCTTGCCATCGCCGTGGATGGACACCTCAGGTACTTCAGACGAAATAGACCCTAAAGCATCAACCCTATAGATCCCTTTAAGGAACCCTTTAGATCCCTTTAAGGAACCCTTTAGATCCCTTTAAGGAACCTTTCAGACATGAGATATTTCGTTACAGCTTTCCTGGGGTGCCCAGCGATAGCTAGAGTGGATAGTAGCGACCGGCAGTCGCATACAAACCTTATGGCCGAAACCCCCCAGACCTTCCAAAATCCCTTAATTAAGGAATATACCTTAAATCATATTAGGGGTCCTATTATAATTTAAGGTCTATTCCTTAATTAAGGGATTTTGGAAGGTCTGGGCCCAAACACCCAACCTTCAAGCCGATCCTGCCAGAAGGCAAGCACAATTAAGGCAGGTGGGACAAGGTTCGTGAGATCCCGAACCTAGTAGCGCCTCTCCTACTTAGAACCCGAACGTACATCGAACAGTGATAAGTACACTTGCGTCATGAGTTTCAATGAGGAATAGATTTCAAACCTGCGTCTGCATGTGTAAGTCCCCCCAGGAGGCCCGTTTCTCCGTGCCAAACGGCCGAGCCCGGCGAGGCAATGCCAAGCTCCTCGAGCTGACGCTTGACCTGAAGGGAAAATCTGATCCGGGAATGACCCACAACCTCAAGCCAAGTCAATCACTGAAATCTGGGGCATATTCTCAGGTCCGTTGATTCATATTGCACACTGCCCGGTCCTACGTCTTAAAGACCCCTACCATGCCAACAACTTCTTTGAGCCTCCAACAGCGCATAGAGCGTTTCGAATGGGGCTTAGGAAACACAAGACCGTAAACAATGAGGAAGGTGATAAGCAGAAGACAAACCAAAGGCAACATCTTCAAACCAACGACGGTAGCAGCAGCCACGTCAGGGAAACAGGAGCGGTTGTGGTGGTGGTGGTGGTGGTGGCGGTGGTGGTGGTGGTGGTGGTGCTGCTGCTGCTGCTGGCGGTCACGGTAGCTTGCGATGGCGGTGCTGGCAAGGGTAGATTTTTTCCAGTAACAGCGGTGCAGTGGTCGATCTTGCTATGGCTCCTACCGTCGTCACGATAACGTGTTGCAGTCTTTGCTATCGTTGGCCTCGCTACCGTTGCCGTGTTGTTGTCTTGCCGTTGTCTGTCCCTGCAGCCGTTCTTGATGAAGTGCTACGGTTGATGATATAAATCCTGCATGACCCATAATAAGGAATATACCATATATTCCCTACTATGGGTCATGCAGGATTTATATCATCAACCGTACGTTCCTGCCTTCCAAACGGAGTCCCAGGAGTCTGCAGTGATGGCCAACCACACCATGGCGGGAATCACTTCCGGGCTGTCGAGTTGGGGCTTACGGGTTTCGGGAGTTGGGCCCAGGCCCAGGTTTAGGAGTTTAGGGGTTTAGGGGTTTAGGGTTTGGGGGTTTAGGGGTTAAGGGTTTAGGGGGGTTTCGGGAGTTGGGCCCAGGCCCAAATTGCATGACTAGGGTGTAATATGGGGCCTGAATAAATAATCACCTACACTATTTTAGTGGCTCCTTGTTGGACTTATTATGGTATAGCGGGACGAGAAAACCGTGTGTGATGTCTGGCTCAAGGGCTTGGGTACCGGGCCTAGGCCTTTTGGATTGAAAGTCCTGCGGCAAAGGAAGCTGTGCAAGAACTTCCGCAACGCTTACCTCTGGTTAATAGAGAATGGAAGAATGGTAGTAATAGTAAGTAGCCATAGTTGTACCCCATTCCTCCATTCCCTACCAACCCAAGGTAAGAACTACGCATCAGGCCACGGGTTTGCTGCATCGTTGGGCAGATCAAGCCTCCCCGTGCTTCCCAGCTAACAGCTGGTGGCATCTCAATGCCAGAAAAATTCCGAATCCTAGCATAGGCGCTAGAGAGCTCTTCGACAACACTCAGATGTTCTTGTTCTTGAAAAGATCCCCGCAAATTCACATCGCAGCACAAGACTGGCGAAAGACTGGTGACGAGTCGATGAGACACTGCGCTTGGCTTCCCCAAAAAAGTTGTCCTTTGTCCAGCAAGCTCTGCCAATCGAACGGTATGCTGTGATGCATCCGGCAGCATTCATCATTATCCTGAATCCCAAACTCCTAAATGCCTCATGACCTTGGCATCCCTGCGCCCTAGAACTCCTGGAAGCAGAGTGTCCCGAATTGCCACCTCGTTCAGCTGCACAGGCTCTGGGTAAACTTGTCAACCCTCAAGCCTCTATAAACCCCCAGAAATATCGAGACCTTTCCGTAAATCCCGAAGACGCGCAACGCTAAAGCCCAAAAAACCCTCAACATCCCACCAGAAAAGCCTCCGAAGCATAGCAGGACATTACCAAGGCCTCGAAGGAGCCAGCTTTCCAGCCGGCAGCTGCTAAGGCGCGTTGCGCGTCCCTATGCCAACAGGTCGGTCTCTTCAGATCTTCTCGTTTCACCCATGTGGGTGGTTGTCAAAATTAAGGTCCCTTTTGGGGTCCTTATTATAGTACGGCACCTATTATTTAGGGTACCTAAAAAGGGACCCTAATTTTGACAACCACCCATGTGTTGGGCCGGTTTTTTCTGATTTCAATGTCCTTGCTGTGCACGTTTTTTCCGTCCACTAGAGCTGAGAGTTTAAAAGGGATGCTTAGGGTTTAGGGTTCTTTGTTATCTTGCCACCCGTTCATCTGGGTTGGTCCAGGACGTGCCAGACGGGCCTCAAAGAACTAGAAGAAGGGCTGGGGTGCGTATTCCACAGAGACAATCACGGGATACTATCGGGCATTACCCAAACCCCCGGGAGGATCTAGAAAGTAGATCCCCTAATTTGGGGCCCTCTGCTCTCAGGGTGCTTTAGAGGAACCCCCATTAAGGGATCTACTTTTTGGATCCTCCCGGGGGTCTGGGTAAAGCGTCACAGTTTCCGGGGTCTGGGGCGGGATGAATCCCCTCGTATTTGTCTTAGAGGCTTAGAGACCTGAACAGACTTTGAAAAGCGTTTCGCCTGAGGGAGCTTCAAGTTTGTTCTTTGGGATTAAAATAGGAGCCTGATTCTTTCGAGGGCAACTATAAGTATGTAAAATAGGGGCCTTAATGGTTTGAAAACGGTTTTTGGGCGCGTTGTTCTATAATTATGGGAAGGGGGCCCCAAGATAGCATAGGTTATTATTAAGGCATCACGAAGCTATGGGGTCTTACGAAGGTTCGTAGGATCCGTTAAGCCAGCTACAACCAGAGCAAGGTCTTTGGTGGCGAAGAAAGCCTTGGAATGACGGTCTGCTGTTACTTTGACCATGCAGCTACAGTATGTAGTTCCATCATTGTGTTAGCCGTTCTGTATTGCCAGGACCCCAGAACAAAACGGAACTGGTTCACCGAAAAACGAAATTCATTTACAGAGGAAACACTGCTCGTTTTGGAAATCTTGACGGCACTACATATGCACTAACTAAAAACGGTCCTGGCACTATCGAAGTACATATACACAGACCCTCCACATCTCTCACCTCCGCCAGAACTGCTTGCAGACACAGCGTCTTTATCAACTGATCCGTCATGGTCTCGGTCGCACCTTTGATGTACCTAAGTTCCAGTTCCATGGGCTTCCCAAGTCTAGAATGGAAGGTCGGAGACCAACTCATGTCGAAAACTAGGCTTGCTCAGAGCTGTTTCAGCTATGCTTATGCTAATCGTTGCTGCAGCGGCCGTGGCTGTAGCCGTGACAGCAGTGGCAGTGGCAGTGCCAGAGACAGGATTAGGAGCATATAGTAGGAGGAGGAGGGTGAGGGTGAGGAGGAGCAAGAGCAGGAGCAGTAGTAGCAGTATCAGTAGCAGCAGTAGCAGTAGCGAAAGCAGTAGCAGTAGCAGTAGCAGTAGGAGTAGGAGGAGGAGGAGGAGTAGTAGTAGTAGTAGTAGAAGTAGTAGTAGTAGTAGTGGTAGTAGTAGTACCAGTAGCAGTAGTATTATTCGTAGAAGTAGCAGAAGTACTACTACTACTACTACTACTACTACTACTACTACTACTACTACTACTACTACTACTACTACTACTACTACTATTACTACTACTACTACTACTGCTACTACTACTACTGATAGTAGTAGTAGTAGCAGTAGTAGTAGTAGTAGTGGTCGTGGTGGTGGTGGTGGTGGTGGTGGTGGTGGTGGTGGTGGTGGTGGTGGTGGTGGTGGTGGTGGTGGTGTGGTGGTCGTGGCGGTGGTGGTGGTGGTGGCGGTGGTGGTGGCGGTGGTGGTGGTGGTAGTGGTGGTGGTGGTGGTGGCGGTGGTGGTACTAGAGCAGTGGTAGTGCAAAGAACAACATCACAGAAATAGCAGCCGTAGCCATAGAAGTCTGAGTTTGTGGTAGTTGGTGGTAGTGTTTTTGGTGCTGGCTTGGGGCTAGTAGAACAGTAGCAGCGCGTAGACGTGTTTTTGTATGCAAATGGCACGCCTGTGACAGCACTGCAGGGTCACAAACAGCAGACGTGGAAGCAAAGCTAGTAGCAGTAGTCATGGTGGTGGCAACAGTAGCCGTACAGCAGCACTACTTTGTACTCGGAGTTGTTTCATCAAAGTGCCCTTTCATGGGTAGCCCGAGTCGTAGGTGGTCGAAACATGAAAGTAGATACTATTGTTTTTGAAATACTCGGGGTCCTGCTGTAAACTATCAACCAAGCCAGTCTTAACACAAGGAACAACCATCTACGAAGATGAGCTACCGAATTCTTACGACTCTTTCTAGCATGTCGAAGCAGAGTTATCATGACAACTTCTATTGCTCATCTGTCGCAACCACTTGTACTATCACAAGCAGAGAAACCAAAGGCTCTGCTAGGCTGAGCCTGCTGCACAGGAAGGCCACTCTGCAGTCGGAGCCTCCATCTAAGTGAGGCTATGTTTTAGCGAGTGTTCTTGTGAGGTATGTTCTGCGTCTCGACATTCGCCAGTCTATGTCAGAAAGCCTTATCTGCGATACAAGGTAGATCGTGGACTTTGCATGTTGCACTGTGTAACCATCGAATAGATGACCTCCTTTCATTGTGTGTACACAGGCATACATGTTGAGGCTGACAACTGGGGACAGCCTGGGAGGCCAGAGATTGCACAACTTAGCGTAATGTAGGGGGCTCAGTACTTAGAATAAGGTTTGGGGGGCATGGTATACGAGAACTATAATAAGGAACCCCCCCCCCCAAAACCCTATTCTAATTATTAAGGCCCCTACATGAGGGCTTTGGGCGGTTTAGGGTTTACTTTTCAGAGATCCCAACAGGCCCTGGAGCCATGGAGCGATCTTGTGTTCGGAAACGCGTCTGCAAATGAACGGAGAGCCTGGCCATGTAGAACTGCATCTTTGTAGACCCGTAGACAGCTTCTATACGTGTTACTACCGGGGCCGAATTTTTCTGCTGCTCAACTCATAGCCCACACAGAAGTTGATGCTTGCAAGTTTTCATCAGCTTGCATAAGACCGACAAGAAAGACTGGCTACTTTTACAGGCGACTCTACTCCAGCATTCGCCAACAGAGCACACCAAAATGGAAGCCACCATGATCTTGAGGGAAGACTCATCAAACTGCGAACTGCATTGAAACCAATTGAAACTGACATTCATTCTTGAAAAACCCCGACCCCTAAACCCTCGTGTCCTAACGGTCCTGACTAAACAGCAAAACCCTAAACCCACTACCTCCCCAACACCCTTACCTTTGGTTAGTAGGGAATGGAAGAATGGTAGTGATAGTAGTTATATTTGTACGCCATTCCTCCATTCCCTACTAACCAAAGGTAAGCACCAGCGGCAGCTGAGGTCGAGGCAGGCAGCGCTTGGACCTCATCACGCCGCCCAGAGGCTCGACGCTAGCGACCTCTCCGCAGAGGTCCACAGAATCTGAGCATCCCCGGGGCGCCTGTTACCTGAATACTGTTGATGATGTAAATCCTGCATTACCCATAATAAGGAATATACCATAATTCCCATAGTCTAGGGTCCGTGAGGTAATGCAGGATTTATATCATCCACCGTAGCACTTACGCTCTCGCAACTCGGACATGCCTGACGAGGTCTCTGGTTCGTAGTAACTTAGTACAGAGGGATTATAGTCTTGGGGTTTACGCCCTAGGGTAGCTTTTCTTCCTCTCTCGCACGGCTGGGATAGCAATAAGTTACCGAGGTATATATCCTTCTATTTGCGTACCTGGAGTTTACCTAAGAGTTACGTGCACCGTTTCGAGAACCTCCGAGAAACTACAAGGAATTTCCCGGCATCTGAGTATGAAAAACAGCGGCCTCAACAAGTAGAAAAGGCTTCCTGCACGGAGTCGGTT